TGACCATAAGAATAAATTTACTCTAAATACAAGGAAATTAATGTGAATGCAGCACCATATGCACGTTATCTTCTAGAAAAATTAGAATTTATTTCCTTGCCTTAAACCAAGGGATTAAATCGCTTAAGTATTACTTATGCTAAATGTTAGTCCTTTTCTTTTTGGCTTAATATCAAGGATAGATTCCAACCAACTTTTCCCACAATTACTAATTTTTTTCTTTAAAGTTTTAAGTAAAGTATTTCCAAGGTTACTGCCGTATAGCTTCGAGATCTTTTTTAAAAAAAATAAAACATCCTGCTTTTTCTTTAAAGTTTTAAGTAAAGTATTTACGAGGTTACTGCGGTATAGCTTCAAGATTTATTTATTTTTTAAAATAAAAAATCCTGTTTTGAATTTTTTTAAATAAAATCACATATAATTTTATTTAGACTTTGACCAGGAAAATCATGAATGATCACGTCAATCTCTATCCTTTAACATGAAAACTTGACTTGGATTTGATTTTAGATTGATTAGCAATCTAATTAGAATGTGTTTAATAACACTAAAATAAATTAACTAGGATGGACCGCCACGCAAGTAAATTTACCAAAATAAACCAACTCTGATATTTTAACATATTTTTACGCATGGTGGAATTAGTAAAATAAAATATCAAAGTCCTCTCACGCATCAATGAATAGTCAAATATTTTGCGCGCGCGCAATCATCAACGTGCTTGGCCACTGAGCACGATAACCGTGCTCGTTTTTAACACTAATAACGTGGCAAATGAAATGGACAATTATTGAGAGGCTGGTTAAAATAAGCAAATTGTCCCAACCGTCAGATGATCTCTGACCCTTTTACATCCACGTGGAGTGATCTTAATGACAGCTACAACTTGGCTTCCTTTCAAGAAAGAGACACCAAAAAGCGAGTACGTGGACACAGATCAGCACTTATAATGGTTTATGGTGCCCTAAAAGAAACAAAAACAAACCCACACCCGATACATTGTATTCTCCATGCACCCAAACCCTAAACACCACCTGTACAAGCTCAAGACATTACACGTCAAGCTATGAGCCGTAAATTCGTAGAAAAAACGTGAACCTTGCTGTCAAAGAATGATAGTCCACGTTCTTAGAACCGGGTAAGTGGACTGGTATTTCGTGGATCCGACGTGGCGGATCAGTCTGCCGTTAGAATCTTAAAAAGGTCTTATCTATACCGTTGGTAATAATTAAAGCTGTTTTTTGGCATTAAGAAATCCCAGAAAGAAGGATTCTAATCTCTTACAGAGACAAGAAACCACAACAGAGACGAGGTTCATAGGAGAAAAAGAAAATGTTGTCAAATTTTTGTTACAGTAATGTCAATCCACAATCTTGTACTATAAATAGCAGACCTCATTTTCACTTACCTTCGTCTTCTATCGGGATCTCTCCAAACTTCTGTAAAGCAAAAACCAAAAAAGCCTTCTGTTTCTGGTATTTATCCCTTTTCTTTTCCATGTTTATCCATTGTTTTTGCTGTTCTTTTCTGTTTGGTTTCTGAGAAAATTTGAACATAATTTGATACCCTGTTTCGTCTCTTGGAGTTTGTAGGTATTCTTCGAATTATAAAGCACTCTCTTTATTGGCATTTAAGGTAAATTCTTCATCTTTTCTTTAGCTTCCCAATGCCCCATTATTTTTCTGTAATGTGTATTTATAGTAGTTTTGATTTTGATGTATCTCATTACTGTATGCGTTTATAATCGCAGAGAAGTGAAGTTCCATTAAAACATTTAAAAAAGGAAGACAGAAAGGAAGAGGAAAAGGAAGCAATGACGATCAAACCAGCGGTTCGTATTTCGGACAGGAAATTGATCGTTAAAGACCGGACAATATTGACTGGTGTGCCAGACAATGTGATAGCAACATCCGGTTCAACTTCAGGTCCGGTGGAGGGAGTGTTTTTAGGTGCGGTGTTCGATCAAGAAAATAGTAGACACGTGACTTCTTTGGGCGCCTTACGTGATGTTCGGTTCATGGCTTGTTTCCGGTTCAAGCTGTGGTGGATGGCTCAGAAAATGGGGGATCAAGGGAGAGATATTCCTCTAGAGACACAGTTTTTATTAGTGGAAACTAAAGATGGGTCCCACCTTGAATCAGACGGTGGAGATGAAGATAATCAGGTTGTTTACACTGTATTTCTGCCGTTGATTGAAGGGTCATTTAGGGCTTGTTTGCAGGGGAATGTTAGCGATGAGCTTGAACTCTGTTTGGAGAGTGGTGATGCAGAGACCAAAACGTCGTCGTTTACTCACACTTTGTTCATTCATGCCGGGACCGATCCGTTTAGGACAATAACGGAGGCTGTTAGAGCCGTTAAGTTGCATCTGAAGACTTTTCGTCAACGGCAAGAGAAAAAATTGCCTGGAATTGTTGATCATTTTGGTTGGTGTACCTGGGATGCCTTTTATCAAGAAGTGACTCAAGAAGGGGTAGAAGCTGGGCTACAAAGTCTAGCTTCTGGTGGTACCCCGCCAAAATTTGTGATCATTGATGATGGATGGCAATCAGTTGGTCGTGACCCAGAAGAGGAAACCAATGGTCAAGATGTGAGTAAACAAGATCAGCAACCGTTGCTTAGGTTGACTGGGATTAAAGAGAACGCAAAGTTCCAGAAGAAAGATGATCCAGCAGCGGGGATCAAGAGCATAGTGAATATAGCTAAAGAAAAACACGGGTTAAAATATGTGTATGTGTGGCATGCTATTACTGGTTATTGGGGTGGGGTCCGTCCAGGAGTTAAGGAGATGGAGGAATATGGGTCAATGATGAAGTATCCAATGGTGTCAAAGGGGGTGGTGGAGAATGAGCCCACATGGAAAAACGATGCATTGGCGTTGCAGGGATTAGGGTTAGTGAATCCGAAAAATGTGCACAGGTTTTATAATGAGTTGCATAGTTATTTGGCAGCAGCTGGTATCGATGGGGTTAAGGTGGATGTTCAATGTATTTTGGAGACACTAGGTGCTGGTTTAGGAGGAAGGGTTGAATTGACTAGGCAATATCATCAGGCCCTTGATGCTTCTGTTGCTAGGAACTTCCTTGATAATGGCTGCATTGCTTGCATGAGCCATAACACAGATGCTTTGTACTGGTAAGTTTCCTTTTCTTCTTCTTTGTTTTTTTTGGCAAGCTTGGGGCTTTTTCCTGATGTGATTTTTTTTGCATTGAAATGTCATGGCGCAGCTCCAAACAAACAGCAATAGTGAGAGCATCAGATGACTTCTACCCGCGTGATCCTGTATCACACACCATTCATATAGCAGCAGTGGCATATAACAGTGTTTTCTTGGGAGAGTTCATGTTGCCTGATTGGGACATGTTCCATTCTCTACATGCAGCTGCAGAGTATCATGCTTCTGCTAGGGCTATTAGTGGTGGACCCATCTATGTCAGGTAATAAATCCTAGCCCTTCATCATCAATCAAAATTACCATGTTAAATTCAGATATCATCAAATATTTTTGTGCTATGTCATTTGCTAAATGTTTGTGGTAACATTTTTTATGAGCAGTGATGCACCTGGGAAGCACAACTTTGAGCTACTAAAGAAGGTGGTACTTCCCGATGGGTCTATTCTTCGAGCTCGTTTGCCTGGAAGGCCCACCTCTGACTGCTTGTTCTCTGACCCTGCCCGTGATGGAGTGAGGTAAGTCTTTTTCTTCTTGATAGTTTTGTCATCTAAGCTAGCTAGCATGATGAAAATATTGTGATCTGAATTTTAGCTAATTTCTTATCCTAGAAATGTTGCATTATGGGGATTTTTCTTAAACAGTTTTTCTTTGATTGCAGCTTATTGAAAATATGGAGCATGAACAAGTTCACAGGGGTCCTAGGTGTCTACAATTGCCAAGGAGCAGCTTGGAGCAGCACTGAAAAAAAGAACGCTTTCCACCAAACCAAAACTGAGGCCCTAACAGGCGCTATCAGGGGTCGTGATGTTCACCTCATCGCTGAAGCTGCCACGGACCCCAACTGGGATGGCAATTGTGCTTTCTACTGTCATCGGACAGGAGAGCTAATCACCCTCCCTTACAATGCAGCATTGCCAGTGTCACTCAAAGTCCTTGAGCATGACATATTCACTGTAACACCCATCAAGGTTTTAGCACCTGGGTTCAGCTTTTCACCCTTAGGGCTAATCAACATGTTCAATGCAGGTGGAGCCATTGAGGGGCTGAAGTATGAAGTGAGAGGTGGTGCTGAATTATCAGAGCTTGATGATGGATACAGGGGTGAAAGTAGTGGTGTGACTGAAGAGAGGGTGGGGAACTATAGCGATGAATTGGTAGGGAAAGTTTGCGTAGAGGTTAAAGGGTGTGGCAGGTTTGGTGCTTATTCATCTGCTAAGCCAAGGAAGTGCATTGTGGACTCAAATGTGGTTGATTTTGTGTATGATTCGAATTCTGGGTTGGTTGGTTTTAGCTTGGATAGCTTGCCTGAGGAGGGCAAACTTCATGTTGTTGAGATTGAGTCATAGGAAAATTCTGTTAGAATACAGTTAAGGGCTACATAGGAGGTTTGGGTATTGGGGTATTTCTTGTACTTGCATGTTTCCCCTCTAATTTTCTTCCCTTTGTAGTTTACTAGTTCATTTAATCATGTGAGGAATTGAGGGGGAATGGTCAAATAAAAATTCTGCTATTTACCTGTTTAATCAATACTCTGTTCTGGGCTGAACTCAAATAACTTAAGACTCTCGCAAAAATCCAACTCCATGCCATTTCATATAATCTGAATCATTGAAAATGGTGATGATCAACCAAAAACTAATGTTTCCTCCTTTTATTAATCAAACATAAACGAGAACAGCTGGAAACCAGAAAAGAAAGGGAATACACTTCAATTGCTCCCTTCAGTGAAAGCATGATTCATGGGATATTGATAATAAAAAACGCATTGATTAATCCTTCGATGATTGTAACACAATAACTTGAATCCAGTGGAACAAAATAAACGAGAGAAAACCAATCTGAACTTTATCTGCACTTAAAATCAATAAGTATTCAATCATCAAAACTAGACATGGATGGCATTAGCAGAAAAAAAAATCTTCTTGGTACTAGGAGGGTGGGACAAGGGGCCCTAATGGAACTGGAAAAGCTAGGTTTATAGACGTCATGAGGATGCAGACCAATGGCAAAGAAGAACAATAAAAATGACTCCAATTGTTTCAAGATGCCATTCTCAACATATACTGACATAAGTTTTTTACAGAGATATCCCTTTTGTGTTCTGATAATAAATTCAGTAACTTGAAAAACCTATCCAGAAAACCCATCAGCTTTCTCTTCCATAAACTGAAAAAGGTCCTGGTGATGGTCTTGAAGGGAGGTTAGAATTGCAGCAGTCTAATCACAAAATTCCGCAGCATCCTTGATTGGAATGATCACCTTGCTAGATAATTATGTCCTAAACCATGGCATTCCTATTTGTCCTGGTTTTCGTAGCATAATTCCTCACCATTTTGTTGCTATATTATTAGGGCTATTTTACAGAAAGTTACAGCTCCAATTCATGATTAGATTCATCATCCTCTTCTTTTTGTTGTAGCTGTTCTTCTTCAATTAGTTGCAGTTCCAGTTGATGACTAAATTCATCACCAAAATCATCATCTTGCTGTTCATGTTTTTTGTGCTGTGGTTGATGTTGTTGCTCATCTTTTTGAGCATGACGTTGATTCAGTCCTGTTTGCTGATAAAACACTTGCCTTTGGACATTCCAGTTCTCTGTGATCCTCTCAACTTCATCTCCAATAAACTCCCTATCATCTGATATATGCTGTATGTTTTGGACATCTACCGCCTTGTTTGCTTCTGTAAAAAAAATATATAAAAAAAAAAACAAGCAGAAGTGTGGTAAATTAAATACGTTATAGATACTGAAAGAATTTTGAAAGGGAAATATAAATTGGGAGACTCCATGATATCTGGACCAAGCATATTTAACATGGTTTAGATATTAATAACTGTTATGTGCTTCAAAGTTTATACAGCACCATAAATAATGCATATAAGAAATCACAGAGAAACTTTTGGGTTGAGTATCAAATCGACAATAAGAATAAACACAAACTGTTATGGAAATAACTAAGCAATCAAATATATTTAGAAAAACTCTACCACCCCGACCATTTATCCTAGTAAAAATTGGAGGATAACCAAAAATTCAACAATTAGATAAATTCAAAAAATCAGCAACAAGTAAATGTAGCTTCTTAGTGTTAAAAAAAAAGTGAATTGATAAACTAGTTTTGCATCTGGTAACAGCTAAAATCACTAGCTCTGCTAGGCAATACAGATACAGGTATATTAAGGAAGAATACACATGTTACTTTCACGATTTGATGCTTATTCAGTCTATAACTTTTAAATACAGATATGAGATGGATAAAAGAACATACCTCTGATGGCATGTTTCTTCGCCTCTGCATATTCTGTTGACATTTTCTTGAGCATCTCTAAATCAAATTCCATACCCTGCAGATGCAGTTCAATCCACAAGCTTATTCAGGGAGAAAAAAAGAAGAGGAAAACCATGGCACCAACTGTGAGCATTGTAAAATCATTATACCTACAGGTAACTATTTTCAAAATAGGAAAAGAAGGCGGGGCCTATTTGCAACTATTGATCTAGTGGAACCTAAGTAAAACCTTCACATGAGGAGTTATGCAACATACCATGTCCATATGGAGGAACTGCTCAATCCGAGTATCATCAAATAACCTGTTATAAAGAAAGCAGTGGAGCAATAAGAGGATCCATAGAATATTTTGAAACCTGAAACCTGACTAATCATGCTATTAGATTGGAATAAATCATATCAACTTTAGGAAACATACTTCTTATATGCAACTTGCACACGGGCATCTTGCAATTCTGTGAGTTGGTTCACTGTCTCACTAACAGAACTTTCATGTAAGTCCACAAACCCAAAGAGAAACATGTTCTTTTCTAGCATCCTTTTGACCAAAGCAGGTACAACTTTTATTCCATGTTCTTTTGCATTTATAACAAGGGTCTTGAGTTTCTTCAGCTCTCCTGTCAGATAACAAGAAGAAATAAGATGGTGAAAAAGAGAAGGGAAAACAAAACTTCAGTTAATCATAACTTCATTATTACTATCATCACTTAATTCACCTCAACATGATCAAGAGCAATAAAATGCTTCCAAATGGGAGAGAGTTCACACGAAGAAAAACCCTTAAGCATGTTCACTTTAAACCTAAAAGTCCAACCAATGAAAAAAATTAATCACAAGGACACTGACAATACAATGCGAAAACCCTGTTTGTTCATGGCTGAATACAAGAGTGGCCCCACAAAGAAAAGAATGGAAAAGATGATTCACGACACCAATTCTGATGAGTTAGAATAAGACCTAGCAGAAGTAGTTTGTCTGAGGTAACTTCCAATTTTAATAAAATATTAGTGTGCCAGAATAATTCAAAACAACCAAAAGTCACACAGTAATATGTAATCAATTAGATCTGGTAAGAAGAATCAAAGAATTAATTTGAAAGCCAAATTGCACGTCACCTGCCATTCAGATAAGAAACAAGGAAAATTTGTGCAAAAGCTTCATAATATGGCAGGGCACATAGCTCAACCTCATCATAATAAACTAAACCTCAAAATTAAGTACATTAAAGATAAAGTTTATGCAGAAAGTGCAGATATACCAAGAGAGAAGTAGATTTTGAAAGGAGGCTTGAATGGTTGAGTCTCATAAAGACAGTAAAGGCAATACAGGCCTCCTAGCCTTTGTGATAAAGAAGAAGTGCTAATCATGTGACCTGCAATTGATTGCATGTTGGTTAGCAAAATTTGCATTAGAAATTGAATTAAAAAATCCTTGATTTAATTGTAAGGAGATAATCATCTAAATTCACTATGAGCATGATAAGATTAAACAAGCTCTCGCTTAAATATGTCTCAAGAAATCTGATGAGAAAGCAACATGATCCAAAAACTATCCAGCCCCAGACGGGACTTGTCCATTATCAGAAACGGGCTTTATAAAATATAACCAGGGCAACAATTTTTAAACTGAAGAAGAACTCACAACGACAACTGGATTCTAGCAAACATTATTTGCTTCAATGACAACACAAAAATCAAGTCGGTGAGAGCTCACCAATTGTATGAGCATACAACGACTGCATAAAGAAGGCCAATTTGGTAGGAGGACTAGCCTCAAAGATGTAGGTAAACTTCCTGGAAAGCCATACTCTTTTCATATCAGCCAAAGTTGTAAACTCACCCTAACAGTTCCCGAACACCACAACTGTTAAAACAATCAAAACATAATAACCCTTCCTGAAAAACAATAGCTAAACAAAATAAAAACAGCCCAAAATAACAAATCCTAGTAAATACCTCAACAAACTCATTTATAAGCTCATCAATGTCCAGCTTGAATGGAGACAGGTCCATAGCGCCAGAGACTCTTCAAATATTAAAACACAAGGACAATATTAATTCCAGTAACCCTTTGGAAAAACAATATCAACAAGAAAAATAAGAACCTAAGTAACCATTGAGTTCAATTTCAAGATTTTAAACGGAGAAAGAAAGCAAGAAAGGGACTAAATTCATATCTCTAATTGAACAAGAACAAACCCATGTTAAGAATTGAATAAGCAATATCTTGGAATGAGCAAGCTCTGAAATACACTTTTAGAAAGGATCAAAAAAGAGGATTTTTTGGCCATAAATGTCCTATCTTTATTTGAATAATATTTCTTTCTATGTTAACCCAAAAAAACAAAATTAAAACAGAGAGAAACCATAAAAAAGACAGAAAAGAAGAGAGTTTTTGTGGTGCTTTGGTTTTCGATTGTTTCTAACGACGATGCTAATTTTCTCATGTGGAGTGTTTTTTACCGTACTGGTTATTGTCCCTAATGGAATGTTTTTCAATCTCCACCCTCTAAAGTGGTTGGATCCAAGCAAAGTCGAGGCGCATCTTATGCCACAACATAAAGCCGCAGTTCTCAGGGACAAGAGAAAATAGTCCAGCAAGTTTGTTTTATTGATTTTAATTTTATTTTTATTTTTTTGTCTAAGAATATAATATATCACGTTTAACATACTATAAGAGGATACTAATCTTGCTTAGGCAATTTATTTTATGTAAATATGTTTTAGTAATAATCCATAAGTGAAAATAAATAAAAAATGCGGATGGTTAATGTTCTAAACAGGAAAGAATCATAGAGAAGTAAATACTAAAACCCTTCCTTGTAACCTTTGCTTTGAGGTAACTATGGAAGGAATGTTTTATGTAATTGGTGAAAAAGATTCAAATACTTGTAGTGTATTTGCAATTTAGAATCAAAGAAAGCAAATAACAAACAAACCCACAAACTTACGAGGAATAGTGAGACTGATTTCAAGTTGAAAATTCGAGTGTGGCCCCTAATCAAAGTGTGTGAAAATTTAATTTTTTTTATATATTTAGATTATTTTAATACATTTTAAAAAAATAACAGTAATTACATTAAAAAAAAAAAAAAGCCTGAAGCTCAGCGACCTGTAGTACCGTCTGCTGGCAGCGTTAATGTTACCTCAATTTCCAAGCAAGGTGCTTCCTGCTATTGGCGTTTTTTATTTTGTCGGTGTGGGAGAGAGCACATTTTTTAAAGATCATCAATAAATAGTCAATAATTTATCAGCACACTGTAAATATGAGACCACTGGCTTCGTTACTGTAAAACACGGTCACACGTCGCAAGGAAACTAGCCAAAAAAAAAAGAGAGAGAAATTCTTGCATGTTCTTTATAAAGCTCACGGAGACTATATATGTAATAATCAAAGATGATTGGGAATGACATTATCAACGTACTAAAAAAAATTGAGACTATCAAACTAAGGAAAAAAGGCTATAATTAATAATGTTTCTGCTGCAGAGCTAGACAAAATAGAGTTGGCTGATGGCAAATAGCCTGGCAGTGGCAGGTACAAGTTAGCATAAATGCTTATCCAAATGTATGATTACTAAGAAAAATCTCCATTTTCTTCATTCTACCTCTAAATTTTTTACCACCGCATAACTGAAAAAATAAAAGGAGTACTTAAGACAACATATGAAAAGCAAAAATGGGATTGATTGTTATGAAACGTACTTAAGAATCATGCTATACATCATAATTCTCTTAAGAACTTTCAATTGTGACAGAAAGGTTATTACAGATTTCAATTTAAAAAATAGCATTTATTTTTTGCAAAGCTTTTTCAAATTGAATTGTCCCATTAAGTTGAGGATAAAACAAACTTTTTCCCCAAAATTTATACGCTCTTGTCTAATCTATTACTCACATGAAAACTATAGACTCCATTGTTCCTCACTCATCATTACCCGTGCAATCACGACAGAGTCAAGATTCGGACAGCAATACCCTTCAAGCAAGATGAGCTTTTTCTAGTTGTTCAATTTGGTAAATTTATTGTCTTCAGCAAATTTAAGTTTTGCTTGATGATTTGAAATAGGAAAAATGACATTGCTTCTCTGTTTTTACACTCTATTTTCTCTCAAAATTTACATTCCACAATCTATAAATTGAGTAACACCTTCTCCTAAAAAAATCACCAGCAAGTTTCCAAATAGCCTAACCCAAGAACAGCTACACAGATCTATAGCAACTTTATCAACTTCTAAAATTTTAATTGATTTAAATCAACCCAGTTTTATACCGGAACGAAGTAGAATTACTGAAACGAACTCAACAAAGGATCAAACTCAAGCAATTAAAAGTAATTGTCTATGATGATTGGTGACCATCTCTGTGTCACATACTCAAGTAAGGAGAGAAAAGAAGGAGAAAGCAAGGAATAGGACAAAGAACAACTGGGGCTAAAAATCCCTTTCCAGCAAGAAAAATTCAATCTAAGCAATTAAGTATTACCTGTTGATGAGTAGTGATTCAGTGAAGACCGAAAAGGATGCCGTGTATGATGGGGAAAAGAAAAGGAAAAATGAAAGCGCTGTTGATGAAGGGTGAAGACTGAAGAGAAAGCTGTTGATGACAGGAAAAAAAGAGAGTGCTGTTGATGAAGAGGAAGCCGTCGATCTCACGGTGGCTGGTTAATTGTTGAATCATTAATGGTTGAGAGCCTGAGCCTGAGAATCCAACAAAACGCAAAGATAATGTCCAACCGAAATTAACAGCAAGTAATGTGTTTACTAGATTTTCAACACCAGGAAGATTTCCTCTCTTTGCAAGATTAACAAGTTCAAGATTATTTAACTACCAAACCACCAAAAAATAATATAAGATTGATGGCTCATGCCTCATGGCCCTCTTCCACGTAATAAAACATGACAGAAAAAAAGAGAACCCAGGAAGCAAACCTGGCCACTAACGAAATTGTTGCTTCATTTACAGTGGCATGCAAAAACAGCTGAGAGAGTGGAGACAATCAGAACAGAGGCAAACGAAGTAAAGAAAAAAATGGAGATTAATCTTTGCGCTGCTGGTGATGAGTGGAGAGTGGAAGTGTGGAACCAGCTGCGCTGCTGGTGTTGGTCGACTAGGGTTGAGATTCTTGAGAATTTGAGATTTGGGCAAAGGGGTAAACGGAATATTGGGAGCGGACTGTGTGTGGAGGGTCGGGTCAGGGGAATCAGGGACAGGGAATCAGTATTTTTATTTTTTTTTGTCAAACTCGTTAAAATCAGTCTGATTTTATCAGTGACGTATATTTGTTTTTTAAAATTTATTTTTAAAAAAATTATATTGTAATTTTTTTATATTTATTTATTATTAAAAAATTAATAAAAAATATTTTTCAGTTAAAAAAATTTAACTTGATTTCTAAAAAAATATTTTTCTATAAAATTTGGATAAAAAATAATTTTTAAAAATTATAAAAAAATTTAGAAATATCATATTATTTACTGATTATATCAAATTTGGTCTTTAAACTTTTGATTGCTAATTATATTTTATTTTGAATATTTATTTTTTAATTTCATCTCTTAAAATTTAATTTGTATATTAACTTTGGTCCTTATTTTTATAATTTTTATTTGTTTTTACCCTATTATTTTTTTATTGAATTTTTTTATTTATTATATTTGGTCCTCATTCTTTTGATTGTTACTTATTTTATTTGAAATAATTTATAAGATGTTAATTATTATTATTTTAATTTCTTCATTTTTTATTTTTTATTTTTTTAGATTTGATGACGTTACTTATTATTATTTTAATTTCTTCATCTTTTATTTTTTTTAATTTTTTAGATTTGATCTCTATTATCTTGATTATTATTTATTTTATTTGAGATAATTTATAAAATTATATTTTTTTTCAATTTCATTCTCATTCAACTTTTTAATTTGTAAAATTTGTTCCTCATTATTTTAATAAAGTTGAGAAAAATAAAGCATTAATAAGTTATTTTTCAGCTCATTTTCTATGACATAATCGAATACTAAAAAGTGTTTTCCAAATTATTTTTTATTACACTACTAAACATTAGAAAATAATTCACTTTTTCGGACTTCACTTTCTAAAAAAAACTAATTTCCAGCAAACAAACGAGGCCTTAGTCTAATTTTATCTAATTTTTTCTAATTTTAATTAATTTTACTTGTTTTTAATATGACAAACGAGGCCTTAGTCTAATTTTATCTATTTTTTTCTAATTTTACTTGTTTTTAATCTCATTTTATATGTTATATACATATTAACTTATAAAATTATAAAATTTTATAAATCAACTCATAATTTTAATAACAATAGTTAGAAGCATGAAATATTGCATTATATGTTTTTATTGTTAAAATCATAAAAATGGTTATAAATTCGTGATTTCACCCAATTTCACCTAATTTTACTTATTTTATCAGTTTTTTAAGTTCTTCAAACAATTTTGCATGTTAAGCATATATTCACTCGTGAAATCATATGATTTAACGAGTCAACTTGCAAGTTTAACAATATTGATTAGGATGCTACGATTAATTTTAAAATTACAAATAAAACTAAAATTTATTAGTATTTTCCTATTACACTTTAAGGTAGAATTATATTTTCATGTGTTTATTATACAATGTAATTACTCATCGCACCCTTACAAAAATTAACACCGTTAATGTTTAAGGGGTGTTTTTGGATTTTTATTTTTTTGTACAATATAATTATAGCATAAACCTTTAAGGTAGCTTTTTTCAACCTAAGATCAAGAGACATTTTAGGTTGTTTAACCTCATATTTCTTAGAAATTTCACGTAGAGTCAGGGGTATTATGGTCTTTCTATAATTTAAAAAAAAAATAGATGATGTGTGCAGAGCACACGCCAACAAGTGGGAGGCGCCCACACCTTTTAGGCGGAGTAGGTGGTGCCTCCTAGTCGTTGTTGGGAGCCTTCCGTGGCAACGACTAAAGCATCGCGTCACCCTTTTTTAATCCATTTTCTTCTTTTTTTCACTCTATTTTTTATTATTATTTGTTTTTTTTTAATTTTTTGATGGTTAAGAATTTTGTCAAATTTTGGTTTTTGGTATTCTATATGGTCATCATGGTCTCATAACCAGAGTTGTTGATTTCAAATATTAGTCCAATTTAACTTCGGTTTTTTTAAAAAAAAAATTTATTTTATCATTTGGCATTAGATTATTGAGTCTTAAACTTTTTTTTTTCTTTTTAGACTATCTCAGATAATGAGATAGTCAAGTTAACCCATATTTAAACGCATGAAAAAAAATTAACTATAACTAAAACTTATCAGTGTTTCACTATAACGCGGAATATTGTTCACTGTTAGTGAATTTACTGTGGATTGCACTTTAACGTGGGTATTGTAGATTGTGTGCGCTTTTGCTGTGGACTACACTGTTTGGTGAGGGGATGTGTAAGGGTGTAGC